TGCCTGCCCAGCTCTGCCCTCTGCCCCTTCCACCCAGTGATTCTCACCCGAGGGTGCATGACCCCCAAGGCGGCCTATCATATCATCTTTGAGGTATTTTGTGGTTTTGTTTTTTGGGTTTTTTTGGGTTTTGTTTTTGTTAGGAGCAGAGTACTGCTCCCCCCTCTCAGATGTTCTGATAGGCCTCCCTGGGGTCCATGCCCACAGCCCCCCCTTGGGTGAAATCACACCCCCCCACCCCCGGGGAGAATCACTGCTGTGGAAGCCCAACCTGACCCCCTTGGCTGCACCCTCCCTTCGTGCCTGTAGCCTTCCACCAGTTTCACTGACATTTCCCCTAAAAGATCCCAGCATTGGCCCCCATTCTGACGTTGGCCCCATTCTAACCTTGGCCCCATTCTGACACTGGCCCCCATTCTGACCTTGGCCCCATTCTGACCTTGGCCCCCATTCTGACACTGGGCCCCCATTCTGACCTTGGCCCCCATTCTGACCTTGGCCCCATTCTGACATTGGCCCCATTCTGACCTTGGCCCGGCACGCTCCTCTTGGAACCATCACATCTCCTCCATATTCGCTCTTTCATACCCATCATGCCTCATCCCCAGTCTCCATGAGAACATTGTTCTTTCTCACCCCCACCCGACAACACCCCTCCTGTTTCCCACCCTTTTGACTCTCAGAAATTGTGACAATAATTTTGGTCCAAGTCTTGTCATCCTTGGCCCCCGTGGTCCTCATGCCCCTCTGTTTCCCGCCAACCAGACCTTTCCCTTCCCCCTTTCCTGCCGCTACTGTCCTGTGTCCTCTCTGGATGGAGTCACTGGTCTTCCCCACCCTCTCCTCAACCTGCAGTCATCACCCCAACACTGGACGTGAATCAGTCCACAAGCTCAGTTAAAGATCGTTTTCTCAGAGTCTGGAGTTTGGCTCATATTCCCCACCCAACCCCCATGCCCACTGACCCCACCCCTGCCCTCCTGTCCTACCTTGTCAAACCCGACCCAGACCTGAACCCAGACCCAAACCCTAACTGCCCCTCCCCTCCCCTCCCCGCCTCCCACCTCTTGGCCACCGCCCACCCCATTCCCACCGGATCCGTAGTAAAGAGCCTGGCCAAAAAGTGCTGCCCTTGCCACAGCACTGAAAGCTGAAGGAGCAGCCCTGTCCCGCTGCCTGCTGGCCTCTTGTGTTTCTGCCTCTCGTTACCTGTGCTGCTGCTCACACTGTCTGGCCCTGAAAAGCTGAACTTCCTTGTGGCTGGCTCCTCTGAGATCTCCTAGGATGCCTCCTCTGCCACCGCCCCGATGGTGTCCAGCACGCTCCACCATGCTCCTCTCCCCAGGTGCCTCCCCATCACCATGCCTGGCAGGTGACCCTTCACTGGCGCAGCATCAAGGCCCCAAATGGACATCCTTGCATGACCTCCTCAAGCTGCACATATTTCCCTTCCCTCCTTGGCCCAGGAAAGCACTCTCTTCTCCTTGGCTCGTGCATCTCAGAGCTTGTCTGTCATGCAGCCATCTGTGATCATCACCTCTCCTTAGGGCTGCGCGCCCTCCTGGGACCTGCTGTCACCATTCACACTCTTTCCATCTCCTCGCCAGGCCGCGCTCTCCTGAACCATTGCTGTCTCTCAGCTGGTCCTTCCACTGGCTGCCTGCACTGCCTTCCCTAGGCTCCCTTTTCCTTAGCCTCGCCCCATCTCATTTTCCTTCTCTC